CACCCATTCTTTTGTTTCATTTGATTCCTACCAAAATATTGGTTTGAAAGAAAGTTGCATTTTAAATGACAATAACATCAGCACCACATATAATGGTATCATGTGCCTTACTCATCCTAAGCACTTAATATATAATAATCAATTTAATCCTCACTACAACCCAAAGAGATTGGTAATGCTACTGTCCTTAATTTACTGAGGGACATAGTCATTAAGTAATATGCTTTTGATCATCCAATTAATAAATGAAGAAACCAATATTTAGGTGTTTGTTTCTTTGTTTTTAAAAGACAGACTCTCATTCTGTCACCCAGACTGGAGTGAAGTGGCACAATCATGGTTCACTGCAGCCTCGAACTCCTGGATTCAAGGGATCTTCCCACCTTAGCCTCCTGAGTAGTTAGGACTGCAGGTGTGTACCACCAGATTTAGCTATTATTTTTTTATTATTTTTGTGGAAATGAGGTCTTACTATGTTGCCTAGGCAGGGGCTTCAACTCATGGCCTCAAACAATCCTCCCAACTCTTGGCATTCTGAGTCACTGAAATTACAGGTATGAACTGCTATATCTGGCCAGATCTAGATATTTTGGTGCCAGCAGTCATATTGTCTCTTTGTATGTTTTTTCTCACACATACTTACATATGACCCAGTTCAAATTACACCAACATGGAAATACCCAGTAAAGATTTGTATTCAAGCAGGGCTTGGTGGCTCAGCCTGTAATCCCGCACCTTTGGGAGGCTGAGGTGAGTGGATTGCCTGAGCCCGCGGGTTCAAGACCCGCCTGGGGCAGCGAGACCTCATCTCTACAATAAATCAAAAAAATCAGCCGGGCGTGGTAGCGCATGCCTGTAATTCCGGCTACTCGGAAGGCTGAGGTGGAAGGTTCGCCGGAGCCCGGCAGGTCGAGGCTGCGGTGGCCAGAAGCAGCCACTGCACTCCAGTCTGGACGACAGAGTGAGACTCCAACTCAAAAAAAAAAAGAAAAAAAGAAATTTGTATTCATTGTCCTTTCCTCAGTGCTTCCACCAGAGCTAGATGACATCTCTTGGAAAGCATCAGTTTCTTACATCCATGGCATCTTACCCAGAAGAAAGAGTGCTATCTTAAGAGTTGTGGTCCTGGCTGCTTTTAATACTGGTTCTGCCACATGCTAGCTGTGTGGTTCTGTTTGTGTTCCTCTGAGCCTCAGTTTCTCTATCTGTACTGGGTGTGGGGTGTGTGTTTGTGTGTGTATGTGTGTGCTCTATATAATCCCAATGGATTTTTCAGGTCAAATAGTCTGTGATTCAATAAACTTATAAAAACAAATACTGTTGAAAACTCTCAAACTTTTTTTTATCAATTCCAAATTGGAAATGCCATGTTTTCTCACATAGAATGGAAAACCTAACAATGAAGGGAGTAAGTACGCGCTAAGCTAAGCAGAATTGAGAGAGTAATAGCATCTTCAGGGGAAGTTTAGTAAAGAATTCCTGGAGGTAAACATCTCCCATAGTTGTTTAATTTTTTTTTTTCTCTGAGTTGGAGTCTCAATCTGTTGCCCAGACTGGAGTACAGTGGCCGCTCCCAGCCACCGCAGACTCGCCTGCTGGGCTCCAGCGATCCTTCCGCCTCAACCTTCCAAGTGGCTGGAACTACAGGCATGTGCCACCACGCCCTGCTGATTTTTTGATTTATTGTAGAGATGAGGTCTCGCTGCCCAGGCGGGTCTCGAACCCGCGGGCTCAGGCAATCCACTCACCTCAGCATCCCAAAGGTGTGGGGGATTACAGGCTGAACCACCGAGCCCGGCCTTTAGTTGTTTAAATTTTTAAATGGTTAACATTTTCAAAAGGAAAGCAGTATGTTATTAGGAATAATGTGAACGTGAATGTGGAATTTAAATTTCAGTATCTATGAATCAAGCTTTCCTGGAACCCAGCCATATCCATTCATTTACATATTGTCCATGACTGCTTTCACATTACAGTGACAGAGTAGAGTAATTATGGCAGAGATGGTATGTCTCACAAAGCCTAAAACATCTACTCTCTGGACCTTTGCAGGAAATGTTAGTCAACCCCTATCCTAGAGTCTCGATTCTATAAGTGCTTCTAATTGTAGGATTATCATCAAGGTTATCATTTAAAAGTGCCTCACATAAGTTTGTGAAAACAATTTAGAATCATATTCTACTACTAAACTTAAATTTATGGCATGTCTACGAAAGAAATGTACAAATCAAAGTCAGACATTTAAAATTGTATTATATGCATTAACAATTACTGCATGAGCAATGCAGCTTTCTTCAATGACTAAACTCTTTCTAACTGGGATTGGCTATGCGTGTAAAGTAACTTTGGCAATATACAAGGTGTTTCGCTTGTTTAGATTTCTGATTTTTAAAACGGCAAATTTAGCTGGGCTCGGTGGCTCAGCCTGTAATCCCGCGCCTTTGGGAGGCTGAGGTGAGTGGATTGCCTGAGCCCGCGGGTTCGAGACCCGCCTGGGCGGCGAGACCTCATCTCTACAATAAATAAAAAAATCAGCCGGGCATGGTAGCGCATGCCTCTAATTCCGGCTACTTGGAAGGCTGAGGCGGAAGAATTGCCGGAGCACAGCAGGTAGAGGCTGCAGTGGCCGGGAGCGGCCACTGCACTCCAGGCTAGGTGACAGAGTGAGACTCCAACTCAAAAAAATAAATAAATAAAAAATAAATAAAACGTCAAATTTAGTTTATCAAGATGATGATAGCTCAGTAGAAGCCTCAACCTCACCATCATACAGTATACTTACGTGACAAGCCTGAGCATGGACCCCTTGAATCTAAAATAAAATAATTTCTTTTAAAAATTCAGATGTATGGGACCAGTACAAAAGCTAAGTGTTTCACTCTCTGATCAGATACTTGGTTTGATTGAGTTTGAAACTTGTCATTTCATTTCCTGAAGGTATACAAGCTCAAACTGACCCTGTACCTTTGTAGAGAAATCCCTTTTTAAAAATAGCAGATAGATAAACTGGTATATTTTTATGTAGATGAAATGATTAACAACTCATATATTTGACATGCTGGGAAATGAAGTATCTAGATAATCAAAATTCTCGGATAATTGAAGGTTATCACTCCATAGGAACCGTGCAGTAGAAATTATTTTGAAATGTAATTAATATTTCTTGACATTTTATTTATTTTATTTATTTATTTATTTTTTGAGTTGGAGTCTCATTCTGTTGTCCAGATTGAAGTGCAGTGGCCACTCCTGGCCACGGCAGCCTCGACCTGCTGGGCTCCCGGCGATGCTTCTGCCTCAGCCTTCCGAGTAGGCGGAACTACAGGCACGCGCTACCATGCCCGGCTAATTTTTGATTTATTGTGGAGATGAGGTCTCGCCAAGTTGTCCAGGTGGGTCTCGAACCCGCAGGCTCCGGCAATCCACTCACCTCAGCCTCCCAAGGCGCGGGATTACAGGCTGAGCCACCAAGCCCGGCTTTTTCTTGACATTTTAAAAAGATTATACTGGCTATGTTTTAGTCATTCTTGGTAACATATGTTATTATAAGCATCAGTTATTACATGGTGCTATAATATTGTACTATGCTGTAATTGTACTGTTGGGGTCATTAAGACAGGTAGGAATTCTTGCCTCTATGTTAACTGACTATAGGCTCGTGTGCTTTTTAAGTTCTGACTTTGCTGTGTCATCTTCTGTGGACTCCCGTGCTACTAGTTTCCACATGTCAAAGTTCCCAGTGCCTGTGCCTCTAGAAGTGTTTTGCCTACTTTGCCATTTGTGATTTGCTAATGAGTAGGAATCAGATGGTCCAACATTTTAGAGTCCTTTGTCAAGAGACAGATCTCTAGCAGGCAGGGTACAGAAGCCTTTGAGCAGTAAACTGCATGGACTTTGTGATGGCTCTTTAGCTAACAGGGCTTTTTCTGTTTGTTGTTCAGTTCGTGGTAGTCTCCTGGAGTGGGGATCTTGCCATAAATCAAATCTCTTGGGGTAACAGCATCATGCTAAATAGATCGAAAAGTTCACTTTTGATTAAAACATGGTGTTATGGCTCTTGCTTATTTTTTGAAAAGACAAATTACACTGTGATCCTGGTTTTACTCTATAGGGTGGCAAAATCAGGCTTAATAAATAGATTGCTTGCAGCAGTGATTGTTTTAAGTAACTCTAGCATTTTCTTGAATGCATTGTCTCCAGTTTTGGAATGCTTATTCTGCAGTTTGTACTAAGTTTCTTTTCCATAAACATGGTGCCACGTATGCCCTGAACATCTCTGAAATACTTCTACCTTCACTTTTCCTCAGGATCCACACAGGTGTGACACACACCTGGCAAGCCTGGTGTGTGTGAATCTAAATTTCTCGAAACAGCGAATGAATTGTGTAGGGGGTGACTTTCAAATTAAATTCAAATTCTTTCAAATAATACACTCCACTAATATTTCACATTGCTTCCTACTTTTCAACAGACTTGTGAGGAAATTTTAAGAACACTTCTCATGTACAAAACGAGGTACATCTGTTGCGCATGTGTCACAGTTAAGGTAGAAAGTTGAAGCTGTTTATATAAAAGGAAAAATCTAAGCAAATCTACTAATTACAATCTTGTTTATACTTTAAAAAAAACCATGATCATTTGTTTGTTTGAACCAAGTTCCCTTTACTTCCTTAGAGACATCATTGCCTTGCTAAGTGAGAAATTATACACTTGAATTTTACACATATGGGTCATTTGTTCCCATGTTACACATACTTCCAAATAGACACCGGTCTTACAGTTTTGATAAAATGGCAGTCATGATCATCTTGCAGCAGGTTTGACTAGCAAATGTTTATCCTTCAAATAGAGCTACAGACAGAAGCCTAATTAATGGAATTGTTAACAGTGATTTCCTATTTGCAAACATCAGTAAAAAGTTCTTTCTTCAGCAATAACAGATATATTTTTCATGTCACTTACCTAATGTTTGTATTGTATGTGTTCTTCCTTATAGGAACCCCAACATCTGACTCCAGGATTCACCTTACAAAGTAAGTGTTTTTGAAAAATTCTTTTTAGTCCAAACATCCATGTCCTCTCATCCCTCACTTTTCCCTCTTTCTTACATAAAATCATTAAAACATGAAAGAACATTTAGGTCTCTGATCCATTTGGAGTTAACCTTTGTGCATGGGGATAGATAGGGTTCCTGTTTCAATCTTCTGCATGTAAAACCTCAAACCATAAGAACCTTAGAAAAGGAAGGAAATACTCTCATGGAAATC